GTGATACAGATATTAATTATGTAGCGAATAATATTCTTCGTTTGATCTATCAAAGGATTTATTAGGCTTGAAGAAGTATCAAATTCTATGAAAATTAACTAAATGATTTTATTCGATTAGTATTCGACAATGTCTATCATATTTGGCAACCTTTTTTCATAGTAAATTTTGCTCGGATCAATTATTTTATAATAAATTGCAGATTATGCCACTGTATATTATAAGATATTTGCCTATAGCTCTTTTATTTTTCTAATTCATTGATTTTATTATTAGTCTCGTTGATTTTTCCCGTGAGTATCTGTTGTACGTACATCTCCATTATGCTCAGATTTTTAACATCGTCGGATAACTATCTTTTTCGTAAAATAGTTCGTACAACCGTAAACTCGTACTGTTTTAAAAATCTTTAGGTAATTAATCATTACAGGAGTGAACTTGTCAGGGATTTCGTGGGTGTGAATTTTCGTAGAAAGGTATAAAATGATTCGATCTATTGTAGCTGGTTTTTTTTTTTAATAAAAATTTATTTCATGCTATTCCTGGCAAATCACATGGCGCGATTAATAACTACGATACACGTTCAGTATGGACTCCAGCTTGCTGCGATTAGGCCATCGGGAAATTAAACGAAAGACGGAGAAAGAGTAACGATCATTCTCGAATCTGGCGAAAGTTTGACGCATCTTTATCTTCATCTCAAATTTACTAGTTTCCATTCTCATTCTAAGGCGAGTATCGCAGAGAGGTTGGAAAAATTATTTCAATAATTTAGCAGTTTATGGTCAATGGGTCAAATAAACAACGCACACATATATCTCCTAAATGCATCTTTACCTATTCTTTAGTCTTCTAGAATCCAAATAAATCAGTTCTTCTATCATCCACAAAATTATATTGCATTACATATTACCTATTATCTATTCTATTCCCACTTCGCAAATAAAGCTCAATTACTTTTCTCTTTTCATTCCTTTCTTACTTGTTTCAAATCTTCTCGCGTCTAACCTACAATAATGTTTTTTACATATTTGACACATTCACGCGCTTCTTCTTCTTCTTCTTCCTGTCCTTCTTTATTTCGCCCTCCTGCTGTTGCTTCTTGTTATTCGTCACAGTCCATTTCCCCTGTGTTGCACCATCACATCCATGCTCGCCGACAATTTATGCTAAGAAAAACAAATCGGTATAACCTATAACCGATATGACAACTATTGGGTTGACAACTAAGTGATTGCGGATTTTGTCATTACCACCAAATAACTTAGTTGCCAACCCAATAGAATTATCCTTAGCGTTATATTTACCTGAATCTAGCGTTATATTTACCTGATCAAAACATATCTTTATGTTACACTTCCAGATACAAAAATATCTTAAGCAGCTCCGACCGCGTAAAACTCTGCATCCGTGGAACATGCGCTTCTCAGACAGCTGAATCTTGACAAGACAGAGACAAGATGTCGGTCATAAACTACGTAGAGTTCAGATCGACCATTCCGTCCGATAAACTATTCTAGTAGAAATATATTCTAGTACTTTGAAATAAACTTTTCCTGTCTTCCATATAGTTTCAGTATCGTCTTGCCAAATCGTCAGAGGCCAAATTTCCAAAGTTCCTCTCTCATATTGTTTAAGAATGTGATATATAATACCAGGCATAAAAATATCGCATACAAACTTTCCATGGCATTACTTTTCTTCGATGATAACGATAACATATAGGACGTCATCAAGGACGTCGATCTTTGCAAATATACTAAAACTAAGGCTTAAAACTAACTTTGCAGCTTAAAATTAACATTTAAAAATCAGGCTTAAAGATAACGTCTAAAGCTAAGACTTCCGACAAAGAATAAGTTCCTTGTTGTCTCTCACCGACCAACCAACAATCGAGTTTACGATAAACTTGATCCAAATCTTAGAACTAAAACCTACTTGACAGTGAAGCAAAAACTAAAGGTCAAATACATTATTACATTACAGCGAAATTTTCCGACTAAAACTATAAACACTTTGGCAAATCGATTCTTCTATTTAATCATCTAATATTTAAAAGAATTGTACAGGAAAGCTTTCAACTTTCCGTTTTACATTAAACGACGCATCTTTGTAGAAAAATCGCTCACAAAATAGACTTAGTCTAGATAAGCTAAATTAATGGACTTAACCACAGGCTACGTAATATTTTTCATCGAGCAACTGCCCGAGAAATAGAAGCAAGTATAAGAAATTACAGCGCATACCGAATAACAACTCTACAGCTTTTACCGACACACAGACCGGCGCGCACATTTTCACTAGAGTCGCCACGTATCCGTTCTCATTTTGTTCATAAATTTTACATCTACTTCGTATTTGAAAACTGGCCTTAATTTTTGTATTTTTCTCTTTTCTATGTGTACTTATTCGCTTCTCTGCGCGTGTTAGTGTGTGTCGTGTATGTAGTGAAACATGTGTTTTAACCTGTCAGCACGTGGAAGTCTTATGCAGTAACGTATATATATATATATATATATATATATACACACACACACATATATATATATATTTCGATAGTTTTGTAATGGAAGAACGCGAAAGGGCTTAAAAGAAATTTACTTAATTTAAAGTATATCGCAAGTTAAAGGAGGTTTCCGTTTTCTATCAATATGAGTACCATATTGGAAAAGATCGCTTCGATCGAGGCCGAGGTAACCTTTGTTTTATTTTCGTTCGTTTCACAGCGGCGTGCAAAAATTTCCAGCCACAATTAATTTTTAGCTTTATGTTCGAAAAACCATATCTAAAAGTAATATTGGATATAAGGGCGTGATAAGTAAAAGAAAATAGTATACTACACGAAGGTTATATATGAATAATAAATAAATCTTTGTATGCTTAAAATTCTTTAAAACGCTGCTTTCAAAATATAAATTGAACATTTATCTGTTATTTATTCGGAAACGTCTGCAAGTCGCTTTATATTCACACTCTATTAACACATTTATTATAATATATCTTTGTCTGTAGATGGCTCGCACTCAAAAGAATAAGGCTACGTCTGGTCACCTCGGTTTGTTGAAAGCCAAATTAGCCAAATTAAGACGAGAACTTATTACACCGAAAGGTGGTGGAGGTGGTGGGGAGCAAGGTTTTGAAGTAGCTAAAACTGGTGATGCTAGAATAGGTTTTGTTGGTACGTAATAAGGAAGTCTAAATCTAAAATCTGAATGCGTAAAGCATAAAGTTTACGAACAGCCAATGGAGCAATCTTTCATTTCGCTGTGCTTGTTCCACAACGATTATAGGTTTCCCTTCTGTGGGTAAATCTACGCTTTTAAGTACTCTTGCTGGTGTTTATTCCGAAGTTGCAGCGTACGAATTTACAACTCTTACCACTGTTCCTGGTTGTATAAAGTATAAGGGTGCAAAAATACAGGTTCCCAATTAATTACGACTATTTTACCATAGGTATACCTTTATGTTATGTATGGTATGAAACGTCAAATGTATCTTCCAGTTACTCGATCTACCAGGTATCATTGAAGGCGCGAAAGATGGTAAAGGACGTGGGAGACAAGTAATTGCAGTTGCAAGAACTTGTAGTTTGATATTTATTGTTCTGGATGTACTGAAACCGCTTGGACATAAAAGATTAATAGAGCACGAATTGGAAGGTTTTGGACTTCGTTTAAATAAACAGCCACCCAACATTACTTTCCGCAAAAAAGATAAAGGTGGCATTAATTTCCAAACCACGGTAATCGAACGGCAGGAAGAGGAGAAACATAGAGAACTACACGTGATACGATTCGTTTTAAATTTTGTACGACTTAACTGTCTCTTTGTATATCTTTCGTTGTATTGGACAGAGTCATGTGTAGTTTTTGTAAAATGGTTAGATGGTTGTGCGCAAGACTTTGTGCAAGAGAACTTAAGACGGTTGTATTATGTTGTAGTGCACACAGTCGGAACTCGACTTAGAAACAGTGAAAAGCATTCTGTCCGAATATAGAATACACAATGCGGATATTACTTTACGATATGATGCCACATCCGACGATCTAATTGATGTCATCGAGGGAAATCGCGTCTACGTACCGTGTATTTATTTACTCAACAAAATAGGTAATTGCATTCGTGCGCGTGCGTGTAAGATCATTTAATCCTACTGTATCCCTTGAATCATTTTCGGCCAAATTATATTTTTGTATAATGTTAGACAGTTTCTTAAATTTGAGGAAACTATGAAAGAACTGCTGTTAACAGGCGTCAGTTTTCCTTTGAATTTTGTGCTAAAAATTTGTTGTCAATATTAAAAGTTTTTGTTTTGATTGACACTAAAACTGAGATAGATAGATAGATAGATATATACAAAATTCGAGGACTACAGCAGGGTTAAAATGATAGAGCTTGAATTACAGATGAGAATCTGCTTTATTTGATTTTTAGATCAAATTAGCATCGAGGAACTAGATATAATTTATAAAATACCGCATTGCGTTCCTATTTCTGCTCATCACAAGTGGAACTTTGACGACCTCCTTGAAAAAATGTGGGAATACTTACAGTTGGTCAGAATGTAAGTAGTATTCAGGTCGATTGACTTCACTAGTTTTTTCTTTTCTTTTTTTTTTTTTTTTTTTTTAATAATAAATCGTGCATAATAATCGATACGTTTATTTGATTCTGATATTTAGCTATACCAAACCGAAGGGTCAACTGCCAGATTATAATTCTCCGGTAGTATTAAACAGAGAGAAACGGACGGTTGAAGACTTTTGTAATAAATTGCACCGATCTATCGCAAAAGAGTTTAAGTAGTAAGTATTCGCTCTAATTGTATTACTAATGATTTATTCTTGACTACCAACACATTTTTTATTTGTTTACCTTATTTTTAGTGCCCTTGTGTGGGGTTCGTCTGTCAAACATCAACCACAAAAAGTCGGAAAAGATCACATATTATGTGACGAGGATGTCGTACAGATTGTAAAAAAAGTATAATTTTTATTAAATATTCGGCGTACAGTTACTATTAATTATTATTGAATAGATTTTTATAGACCGCCTTCTGTAATTAAAAATGTCGTAATTTTGGAGTTTATCTTGTTTTTGTTCGTACAAAATTATGGAATATTTTGGTCAGAATAGTGTAACACGAGATGCGTTAAAGGACATACACAAGGAAAAGATATACATATATATATACTTCTAATATTATTCGTACAATATACATATGTGTATATATATATATATATATATATATATATATATATATATATATATATATATATATATATATATATATATATATATATATATATATATATATATATATATATATATATATATATATATATATATATATATATATATATATATATATATATATATATATATATATATATATATATATATATATATATATATATATATATATATATATATATATATATATATATATATATATATATATATATATATATATATATATATATATATATATATATATATATATATATATATATATATATATATATATATATATATATATATATATATATATATATATATATATATATATATATATATATATATATATATATATATATATATATATATATATATATATATATATATATATATATATATATATATATATATATATATATATATATATATATATATATATATATATATATATATATATATATATATATATATATACACATATGTATATTGTACGAATAATATTAGAAGTGGCTGAAAATGAAGTTTTAATAAGTGCGTAAATTATTAATAGGTACATAAATCGTTTGAAACGGTTTTATTTATTTTATACGAAATGCATACCTAATCCTACCCGCATAAATAAAAAGGAATACACATGTGATCGAATAAGTCACAAAATAACAACAACAACATTGTTATTTATAAAGTTTTCAAAATATATTCTCTTCTCTGTTGGTCCAATAACTTTTCCAAATGTTGACATTTTAATTTGACGTCATCACGTTCTTTGGTCAAATTTTTGATCGTCAACACCTTTTGAGTCATTATCAGTTTAATTCTAAAACGTGAAAACGGGGTGTACTTGATAAAATTGATAAGTACCGAGGTATTAATTTGCATGATTAATTAAGATCGAACCTGCTGTGTAATTGAGTCATCGAAGTGTCTCTATTCGCATTCATACGAGTAATTTCGTGATAAAGCGAAGCAATTTTCTCCTCCAATTCTCTTTTTTCTCCTTCGATTTCTTGCCTCGCTAATTTTTTCGAGTTGTCTCTTTCCATACTTAACCGTTTGATTACCTAAAGGGTACCTGTTTCTCATTCGAAACGTTCGATAGCCAATAATTGCTGTACGACGAATTTCCATTTTAGAAAATATCCTACCTCGTTTGCGTTACTCAACTCGGATACGTATTCCTGCAACTTGTTCTCCGCGTGTTGCAACTGAACATCGGTTTTCTCCAGTTTATCCTTCGTCTGCATTAACTTAGTTTTATAAAGCTGTTCGTTATCTATTGCGGTTTGCAAGTCCATTTCGTACTTGTCCCTCAAAGATCTGAAAAACGGCACGATTGTTTGTGTGTGTATGTGTGTGTGTGTGTGTGTGTGTGCGTGCGTGCGTGCGTGCGTGCGTGCGTGCGTAAGGAGGTCGCTTGGGCATCGAACGAGAATCAATCGCAAATTACCTACCTGAGCTTGCAATCAACGTTTCGTTCAAGTGTCGATCTTTCGTTTCGAAAGTCTTTTTCTAATCGTTCGATAGCAAGTTCGATTTGTCGATCCCTCTCCTTGTTACACCCCTCTTTTATCTTACTCTCGACTTGTTCGATTCGTAAGTTCTGTTCTCTCTTGTAATTGACCAACCAAGCTTCCCACTCAGCCTTCAGCGATTCTTCGAGAGTCTTCTTCTCGTTCGAGTGTTGCTGCTTCAGAGTCTCGACCTCACTCTAAAATTTCACGTCGATTCAAAGAAATCGATGGAATCAACAGATATTCGAAGCTTTCGGTTCGACCTTCACCTGATACTGCGAATGGTTTTTTTGTAAACTGGCCTGCATTTCAGCTTCTCGTTTAGCTTGTTCCTTGGTAAAGTTTTCTCTGTCGCGTTGCAACTCTTGGAAAAGTTTCGTTTGTTGCCCTTTAAATTGGCTTTCCTGCTCCTCCAGCTGCTCTTGGTATCTGAACGGCATAAAGATCAATTGCACAGCATTAGTCTAGTGTTTCAGAAGAAATGGTATTGGTAGAAATTTTAAACGATTCTGAGAATGTATACAGAAGTTGCGAGATATTTGGTACGAGTATATATTTTGCAGAGATCGCAAAACTATTTAAAAACAGGCAATGGTGCACGACATTGATAAGTCTTAGTTTAGTATTCAATGGGACCATCTTTAACGCTTGTTACATGCTTAAGGTGACTATTCACGCTGTATATTAATTTTTTACCAGCTATAAGTTTACAGCAAATATGTTGCACAACATCTACGTACACATATATAAGTACACAGTTTCCCGACTAGGTTCAAATTTTGCCAATGCAATCATAGCAGTCGCGTCTCATTAGCGTTGATAAATAAATTTCAATAAATACTTGTTTTATATAACACGTCTATATAAACATACAAGTTTTCTATACGTGCAAGTGGACGAATTGTTTCGCGGGCCACTGTACGTCTAAAAATGAATTCCACACCTGGTCCACAAAATATTCTTCTCGTTGGCCAACATTCTCTCGTGACTGGACATCAATTCTAGACGCAGTTGTTCCAGCTGTTGATTAGAATGGCGTATTATACGCAATTCGGTGTCCTGTAGTTCTTTCACATGTATATTTCTTAGCTTCTGAATTTCCTCGGCGTGTTGCTCCGTCATATTACGTAACTCGGGTTCCAAACCTTTCACAGTCATCTCCTTAAAATCGACGAATCAAAATTATAAATCGTTGAAGACTTTGATAAGCTTGGTAGCGATGCGTCGTACAAGTAAACCAGATAGTTAGAACCTTGATCTTTGTCGTTCTGGCCTCTATCCATCTCTCCCGTTTAATCTTCTCAGCCGCGGCAAAATGCTCTTTCGCTCGTTGCAACTCTACCGTATGCCTCTGTGTTGCAGCCTTCAAATCCCGTTGCATTTTTATTTCGATCTCTTTCACTCTCTGCGCCAACGAATTGCATTTCTCGGTCAAATCGGTTTTCTCCGAGATCAGCTGCTCGATAAACTTTTGATGTCTCTTAACTATCCCCTTGTATTTCTCGTCCTGTTGCTGCAGTTTAGAGGCGCTGCTCTTCCTCTGACTTTCCAACTTGTCGCAAGCCAATCTCCTTTCCGTCTTTAATTGTTCTTTCAAGAGCGATATGGTAGCGTTCTTTTCTTCGAGTTGCAGCTGTACCGTAGCTAAATCCTTTTTAAACGCATGGTGGCTATCGCTAGGGGCTGGAACAATGCTAAGAACAGGAAGAGTTTGCAAGTGTCGATTTACAAGCGGGTATAGCACTATAGGACTATATGACTATAACCGCTACCTACCTATCATAGTTGACGACAGTTTTGTTAGGCAGTGGCTGCAAGTTACCAAATATCTCCCCAAATATGGTGGTGGCGTCTACCTCTGGTATGATTATCTTGGTATCATCCAAAGAACCTGTCGAATGTATACCTATATTTATAGAAACACAAGGAAACAACGCGAAAAGCTCTTAATACCGATGAAACACATTATTATCAGCTACCCTCTTCGAGTTTGGCCAAGAAAGACATTAGGTCGTCGTACACAGTTCCATTTGCTACATATTTCTCTTCGGACTCGTCTTTCTCTGGTTTCAGCTGCAATTAGAAAGTTTGATCGATCGGATCGAGCCAAACGGATAGAAAGTTGATCGCATTGTTTCTCAAACCTGTAACTGATCGATTTCTGGAATCGTCACGGCAATGTCCTTCTCGAGATCATTGATCATACTGCAAAGCTGCTCGAACGAGCATGCAGTCGATTCGACGAAGTTTTGATTGCAGTCTGCATTCCCCATTTTCTCCATGATGACATCGGGATCATCGTTGATTTCTCTTCTCTCGTACATGATATTCTCCTCTGTGAGTTTCTTTTGTCTGGACTCGACATATTTCGATGGGAGAGACTTGTTCACGGGTGGTTTCCCGTGGATCCTTGGATGGTCGATGTAAATCATAAAATACGGAACAAGGATTTGCCGTTGTTATGAAAGTTCGAGCAGGGTCGTATTCACTGACCAAGAGTTTTTCACCCCTTGTTTATAGGTGCGTTTGCGGTTGTCAAGACAATGTCAAGGTAACGCGATCAAATAACTTCACCTCTTTTGCTTCGGATAGAATAACTAGTGGAAGACTGAAACGAAATTCCGTTTGATCGCAAATTTTATCAACTGGCTCACGAAAATATTTCGATACTTACCTTACCTTAACGTAGAACTGTTTCAAGTATATATCGTATTCGCGTTATATAAAACATTTTGAAATTTCATCAGCAGTGCAACGGGCCACGACTATCGTTATTACATTGGTTAAATTTGACACCAATCTCAAAATGTGTATAGAAATTATAAAATATTTATCGTGTCTAAACGTATGTTTGTGAAAAATTAGTATACGGCATGAACAGCAGCCATCTTAAGCATATAATAAGCTAAATAAGTTAAATATGATCTCACTGAATACCGTTTATTAAACCGACGTTTATTAATTCATATATAATTCACTGTTTGAATAGTTTTGCGGTATCTGTGAAACATCTAAATATCTTGAACTTCCACTAAATATCTTCCACTAAATATCTTGAAATTTCTACGTATACTTTCCGATTTGTTTCAAACTTTACCAATACAGTCGAACCCTGATAACACGAACGTCTGTAACTCGAAAACCCCTATAAGGCTATATAATTTTGTTTACTGCAGAAGAGTCCGACTCTAAAAGTCGAAATATAATTTACTTTAACTCGAATTTTTTGTCACGTGTACAGATGCATTATTTTACCTTGAATGTAACTCGAATTTAAATCGAATGTAGAACAGTCGGATCTCTGCAACTCCAAATGTACCTATAGCTATGCTGTGTGTGAGTCAAAGTATATGAGAAATCAATCGTTCCACATTGTCTCCTTTCTTTTAATTATTACACGATTGTTTCAAACAACGTAAGACGACGTCAAGCCGTCTATCCCTATTTCTTCGCTCTTCGACCACCACGTGCACGGTGACCACGGTGAATGTAATTGTGCCTTCGTACAAAGCTCCCGCGTCTCGAATTTCCTTCTACCCGGAAATTTTGATAAATCGAAACCTCTAAAATTCGAAGATTTTAACTCTTTCTTCCTCGAGGTTCCATCACTGTTACAGGTTACCGAGGTTCGACTCGACACTATAATCACGATTTCGTATAACATACGCAATATATTCACGAAAGATGTCTGCAAACGTTCGAATATTTGCATGAGCCGCGTATATTTATCTTTAGCTAATACGCGACAGTAAGAATATTTGAACGATAAAGATAAATAAATAAATGGTGGATGAAAGTAGGGATAGATAGCAGAAAAATGATTCGTTGCAGCGATCGCGATTGCCGCGCGTATCCCCTTGCCGCTAATGGTCCGCTAATGGTCGTCGTCAGTACTACGTATGCTTTATCTTTTACATATTTGTGTTTAGGTTCTTTAGCATTATTTGTTTTATTTCCATCACTTTGTATCATTTTTTAATATCTTTGTGTTTTCAATCTTAATCCGTGAAAACAATGCAATGTGGCGTCGTGTCCATGCTGTATTTTGTTTAAGAATATATCGACGGGGCAGAGGGTAATGCAGAGCTCGTACGTTACCGCGCTGGTGATTGCTAAAGGGTTGCTAGAGTGCAGGCAGCACCGTTTGGGGCGACCTGGCGAAGTGGGAATAGATCGTAGGGAACACGAGGAGATAGTGGTCGTCAGTCGTGGGGCGAGGTTGCTGCGGGTGAACTCG